AGGGCGACGGTAACTTTTCTCGAATGACGAGACACTATCACAACTCTTTCCGACCTAGGCACCTCTCGTCTGTATCTTGATGAACGAAGTGCTTGAGTAGTGTGAGCATCCCTTGCCACTACTCTTCCGATGTTACCAAGTTTCTCTATCTAGATTAAATCTAGATGGCATAAGACTCTTCCACTCAGAACCTCTAATTTCCTCATCCATTCTTCTCAGAGTTTAACCTGTCACAACTTTCCAAGTTTCTTGGTTCACTACTGAGATGCTTAATTTGTGGGATCAGGCGTGAATGGATGGTCGTAGTCAATGTTTTTGACTTTTACGACTTGAGTTACTTTTCCTAACTAAGGGTGTCAGCTACTATGTTGGCTTAACCGGAATAACAACAAATTTCTAATTTGTAGTCATTTTAGTAGCTTAACCCACAATTGTTTTCTTGACTTCATCTCCTTTCCTATTGGTATATGATGAAGGGTTTTATTTTATGGTTCATGGTAGACCTCATACTCAGCTCAATCACTATTACTCAGTGTATACAAGTCGTATATAATTGAGATTGACAGGATGTTCAGATGTGTGGCCCCACCCCAAACCCACAACCAAACAAGGAACAGGGAGTAGGGAGGAAGCACACATCTTAAATCTTATTAACCTAAATTATATACCACTCTAATGCATATATACTCAGTAGTAGTAAGTTAATCCCATGAGTTCTTTCTCTTGATTCACGGACTTAATCGTGTGATGCAAGTGGCCTTTCCGGAGGGTCTATTGAGTAGGCCTCGGGCGGCTATTGTCTTCCGGAATATCTGCAGTGCCTTTTGCTTTTTAATGTCTAATGGGGTTGGTCAACAACGCACGGTACCCCTCTCCTGGGTACTTCTGAAGGTTGGATGAAAGAGACGATCGATGGTTCGCATTAGGTTTTCTTATTAGGTTCGAAAGAACCTTTATTTGACACTTATGATAAGGTGAAAGTTCTTTTTACACAGCACTAGGAATTCTCGCATGGTCGAACCAAGTCGAACCATGACCGACGGTGGTGTCGAAATTAATAGACATCGACACTATATGGAATGAAGTATGTTAGGACCATGTGTTGAACAGGGCACACAAGTTCTTAGCGTCTCGGGTTTCGTCCATAGTATTACTATCCTGGATACTTGGACCGTCATGATTTACGCTGAACGCTGGGGGTCCTGATGTTTTGGAATAATGTACTTTTCATGAACGGATTTCTCACGAGGCCTCTCTATAACCGCCTAGTATACACTAGTCATGTATAATTAAGATTAAAAAGGATTGTTGACTGAGCGACTCCGCCCTAAATCCACAACCAAACAAGGAACAGGAGATAAGGCCGCATCACTCACTCGAGGTCTATCAATCCTAATTATAAATGGCCTTAACGTATATACTAAGCCATCATAGCTTTACCTGATGGGCTTTTAAGTTTTACAATAGTGCTGCGACTTTTACCTTAACGAGAGAGTAATTACAATTAGAATTGATTATTTAAAGTTTTTGATTAGCTACTTAAGGTTGAGAAGCGTACCAAAATTCTACCGGGTTCCTTGATGTTCCTCTAGGTATTAGGGTTAAACTCCTCCTGCGTCTTTGTCATTTCTTTCAGTTGGGCATTCCCTCTTGAAATGCCTAATTTCACCACATAGGTGGCATATTGGACTGGTCCCAACATTGGTGGTTGATGTAATGAACTCAACCGGAGTTCTGCAGTTGTGAACGGTATGCCCCTTCATGTTGCACCTAACACAAAAGGGTTCTCGACAGACTCCATAATGATGGTAGTCACACTTGCTGCAGTGGGGGAAGTTTCCTAGGTATGGTCTTCTTGGTGTCGAGACAGGCGGGTTGATAGAGGTATTGACTACCTCAGCTTGCTTCCCTTCGGAAGGTCCTTGCATCGAGGTACTCCCCTTCTCGTTCCCAAACTTTCTTTTCAGGGGATTAGGTTGGAGTTCTTGGGTGGCTTTACACACCGGTGCTGGTTGTTGCTGCCCATTGCTATGACAGCTGCTACGGCTGCTGAAGCTGCAGCTTGGAACGTAGCTTCATCGATCTGAAGAGTCGGTGTCTTGCTAGCGGGTTGGTTACGTTTCTTCGGAGGCATGGTTTTTCCTACACGATGAGGAACACAAGTTGATGAGAAACGATGGTTAACCCTAGACGTATCTTTCTTTACTATAATAGGCATAAATTTTTCCCGCGCTTTGAGCTATGGTTCTCTAAGGGTTGACCTACATCCCTATGATGCAGTCCTGGTAACAGGGTAGAAGTAAGTGTATCGGAAAGCCTTAAATCGGGTGTCGTTCCAACTAAGTTATCTTTATATTGGAGAGGTTCACTCTCCGGCTTTGAAAAGATTTGAAAGAACTTCGGAACGAAGATTACACAAGAAAAAGACTCATGAAAGTTTAGGGCTAAACACTCTCAATCGAGATTTTGTGATCCGATCTATTTATCTTAGGTGCGACAGGAAAGACGATTTGCCTAACACATAGTGTGAGTAGTGTAACCACTAACTCACTAAGTTGTATTAATTTATGGGTTATTATTGTGACTTTATAGGGGTAGCACACTTCTCGGGTTTCATACATTGGCTCCTTCTGTTCTCTGTTTACTCTTGACTGGAATAAACGTTGGTTTTCTTCAGGTACTTATATAGGGTTCTCTTCTCCTGTATACATATTGAATTTCTGCTCCGCCTTACTTCCGATTCTGACTCTGATCGTCATCACTTCAGAATGGATGACTGGAATCTCAGAAATTCAGGCGAATTTCCCACCGATGTCCCTAAAAGGTATAGGCACATGGTGATTTCAATAGTCTCATCACTGTTCACTTATTTCCTACTTGGAAATCTTTCTCAATGAACCTCTTCTGGTTCTTTATCGACTCCTCTGCCGATTACTGAAGTAGATACAGTTTTCTAAAGGGGTTTATGCGAGAATGAGAATGTCTAAAGAATCTTAAGAGATTATTAAAACATTTTAATGTGTGATCCATATCGAGTACTTCTACAATTACATAGTGTACACAAATCATATATAACTTAGATCTAATAGGCCTTCGAATATGTGATACTACTCTATATCCACATCCAAACAAGGAAAAGGAAGTAGAGCGAAACCACACATTCTTAGCCTATGAGATCCTCATTATATATAACCTTGGGAGCATACAGTCTGTAATCATAGACCTATCAATGAGGGTGTTTTTAGTTTTCACACAAGGTTATTTATGGTTTCTAAAATACTCCTATAGCATTTTAATTACATATTTGATTCTAGAATTTCTGGATATGTTTTCTGGTTTATTGTTAGTCTATAGTATCATAAAATACTCCTATAGTATTTTAAACTCTAGGTTCGGCTCTAGCATTCCTATATGGTAAGTTTCAGATTCATTGCAACACCATCATCACTCCCAAACACACGTTGGTCGCATCTCGAATAAATATAGTTGATCAGGCTACATTTATTCCAGCTTACGATTACATAACTGTCCAGGTTTGACGGTAATGCTCAACATCCAAAGACTTTTATTCCTGTTCTTCTTGTGATACTTGTTCTGGTATATATATTCTAGAGGTACTTATACTTTTGTAAAATATGGTTATATTTTAAAGTATAACTCTTGGTCAGAGTGTTTTTATCCCATTGTATTTATAGGTTGTATATCTTTTATGATTTGATATACTGAGTTCACTATAAACAATGCTCTGATACCAATCTGTCACACCCCAAAACCGGAACGGCGGAAACGTTATGCGGTGGAGGACGTCATGTCAAGTATCACAACACATGCAGTATAGTAATCAAAGTACAACAACCATTGCATTAATAGTATAAGTTTTTACATAGGTTACATGTAGCAACGACATCAAAAGTAGATATAGAGAATAAGATAAGATGCAGCTCGGTACAAGGCTAACTTCGCAAAAGCTCCCGGAGTGTACCTGTCTACTGACGACCTGAGAATGCAAGTTATTTTGAAAGAGACGATCAGCATTTTAATGCTGGTGAGTTCATAAGTATTTTAATGACATTGATGTAAATACATATTTTTCCTCAAAATAATCTCATTAGATGATGGTGATAAAAGTTTAATAAGTATTTGAATTCCTTCCAGAAAATCCTATATTTTCTGATTGAAGTAGTCCTCTACCAAGAATCGACTGTTTCATGTTTAAAAGAATGAGTTCCTCTACTAAAAGCAGTCTTCTACCAAGACCCGACTGTTTCATGTTTAAAGAGCATTTTCCCAAATGTTATTATCATTATCAAAATATAGTTTTACATTATCGTTTTATATCAAAAACGTTCTAAGTTTAATGTATTAGGGAAAATATTATAGTACCATAGTTTTATATGTAGAAACTATCGGGGTACTAATTACCTTAAGGCCATGAATTATAAGGTAAATGTGAAGATACTCGTAACCATACTGATTGACGGATGTAGACATGACGACCTGCTGGCGTCGAAATAAATGTGACATTTGTCACCCCTTGGCTTGGTCGGCCGGGACTGTAGCTAGCAGTCAGGATGTGGGATGGTCTGTCCCGTATAGATCTATACACACAATGCCCGCTCTCCCTCCAGGAGACTCTGGTTACCAACTCGACAACGGTGAAATCCGCGTCACGAGGATGTATCTCATGCTTTGATTGCTATATACGTTTCTTTTTACTAAAAGTACATGTTTTAGAATATTGATATAGCTAGTTTCTCCTCATAAATGTTATGGTTGGTTTCTAAACTATACCTACTATAATTTACTTGAGAGGTTATCTAGGTACCTTTGCTACCCAAAGGCGCTCAACTGGAGTAAGAGTTTTAATATCTAACAAATATACATAATATACTAGTCGTTTACCCGCGCTAAGCGCCGGGCGGCAAAAGGTTTCTTTCAGAAGATAGTTTTAATGTGATGATTAGTTTCCTTTAGACGTGAGCTATTTGGTAGACTATTTTGTGTCAAATAGTTCATTTCAACAGATAGTTTCTTGTTAGGTGCGTAGTCATACAATACGACAAAAGTTGAGTCTACATCTCAAATAATTCATCTAATAGTTCATACTTGATTTTACAATATATAAATAACAACAATCTGCAACCATGTAGTTTTGTACATTTATAATATGTCCAATATATAAACTACACCAATCTGCAATCATGTTGTTTCATCTGCTATCCCTGCATTAAATATCAAATAAGCATCTAAGATACATATTTGAAGAAATTGTAAAATAATAAGTTGTTGATTGTACCTTGTTAATCACATAACACTTCTTTGTACACAACGTTTGATGTGTAGATTCCATCATTATCAAACGTTTTTTCCAGCTTTACTAATACCTTGGTATTGACACATGATATTCCTCTGGACAACGCCACATAAAGCTGGCCATGTGAGAATACCGATTCTGGTAGATAAACACCTACATTTGGAATTGTTTGTCCTTGAGCTTTGTTGATTGTCATAGAGAAACTAAGCTGAATTGGAAACTGCTTTCTCTTAAGTTTGAATGGGAACATCTCATCGTCAGACAGACATAGAGGAATTCTTGGTAAAAACACTCTTTTTTCAGCATGTTGGCCAACAGCTATCTCTGCATCAATGACATTGTACCTGAAGCTTTCTTCTAGCTGCTCTTGCCTTGTGAAGAGTTGGTGCCTGAAGTTTTCTTCTAGCTGCTCTTGCCTTGTGAAGAGTTGGTTCAATTCTGTGGGAATAGGGAAGACTTCTTGATATTATCTATATTATAAAAACTAATTTTAATAATTTTCTTTGGACTTAAAACTTTCTACACCCACTTATAAAAAAAAATTAATAATTTTCTTTGGACTTAAAACTTTTTACACCCACTAATAAAAAAAATTACTTATGGTTGGAACAGTATAATATTGTAACTATACGTAACTTGTTAATTATTTACTATCAAAAGAAAAAATTACTGATAAACTCGAATCAAGTCAAATTGACCAATTATTAAATCCTTATGAATATATTATATTACTATTAATTAATAACAAATTTTTTGTTACTTATACATTATAATGATAAATTTTTTTGTTGTAGATGGTATAGTTCTTATAAACATGAATTGTGTTATAAAAAATTATTGTATATAACGAAAAATTATGTTATTTGTTTTAATGCAAACACATTAAGACCCACTAAAGTATGATGAAATGAACAAACCGGAGCAATTTTTAATGGTCATTCGTGATAATATAATATTATGAGTACGATGGTAAAATGATTATGTATATTAATAGACGTATTAATTAACTTAAATTATAAAACCGGTTTGTTATTTTTAAAAGAACAAATGTTATTACAGTTCACATTAAAAATAAGAAAAGAAAAATGACAGCCAGAAAATAGATTATACTTAACTGTGAATGATAGATATGTATCAAAGTACTTTATACCATTCATGAACAACAATATATTGAATTGATAATCAAACAAACAAGCATGATGCAAACAACAAAAACTAAACCTCATCCTAAATGCAATTTTTAAAAAACAATCTTCACATGGTTACACCAAATTCGATCTAGTAAAGTAGAAGAAGTAAAGAAGACAGAAGACAGAAGAAGATTCATCAAACAGATAGAAGAAATAAAGAAAATTTGAATTCGTGTCACGAAATGTAATCCAATGCAATGAAGTAATCTTCTAATTCTCGATTCCTTGTTGGTGAATTGTGTTGTGAAAGTAAAAAATAAGAGCATAATATATTAGATTTATAGACAGAATAATGTATGATATGATGTATTTTCGGATATTACTAATTGTCAAAAGTCATACCAAAAATATTTTAAATCATACCATAAATACTTAATGTCAAAAATCATACCAAAAATATTTTAAATCATACCATAAATACTAACTGTTAAAAGTAATACCAATAATACTTTAAATCATACCATAAATACTAACTGTCAAAAATTATACCAAAATTAATAATATTTTCATTTAAATAATATCATACTAAAAATAAAATATATATTAGAAGCTGAAATTACTGTAAATGTTAGTAAATTTTACAAATAAAAATAATTCCTTCTAGTTATTTTTAGAAAAGAAACTTATCATTTAATTAAATATCATGAAATACTAAATTTTTTTTTAATAAAAAAGGGTTATAATACAATTTTCATTCCAATCCAGCACGGAATGAAAATTAACAAAATGGAAGGAATCAGAATTCAAATGCCTTTGGGAATGCTCAATTCCATTCTATTCTTCCGATTCCATCATACCAAACAAAACAAAATAATTCTTAATGTAAAACTCACAGGCCCAACATACAGCTTATATTTCAAGTTGAGTTATATTCAAATTGTGAAGGAAAAATATTAAATTTTATTAAATGTTAAAATTTATAATATATAAAAATAATACCTTCTTTTCCTCAACTATAGGTGCAGAAGGTTTAGTTGCAGTGAGGTCTTCTGCAGGCAATCCAAGCTTCCTCCTCCTTTCAGCCTGTAAAACAGATTTATAGTGATAATTAATTAATTATTAATTATTATTATTATATTAAGAATTTAAGACCTTATCTTCTTCCAACTTTTGTCTGATTTTTTCTCTAGCCCTTCTTTCCTCTTCCTTTTCTGCTTTACGCAAGGCTATAATGCTACAAAATACAATAAAAAAATTCCTTTTAGGAAATAGGAATATAGAATTAAATATTTTGGAGTAAAAATTACCGTTTTCTTTCATTTTCTTCCTCCATGCGTTTCCTTAAAAGAGAACAACATATTACACATTCTACTTGGAATATTGGATGAAATTATGTTAAGAGTTACACAAACTGAAGGCCACTTTAAGAACCAAGAGTATAAATGTATAATTTAACACAATTTTACAAAACTGAAATTAAGTTTTTAGATTATTTATCTTTCAAGAAAAAGAAATAATTACCTTCTCTCTTTCTCTTTCCATTCTCTTTTCTTCCTCCTCTTTCTTTTTGCTTTCTCGCTCCCTTAAACATAAGCAAAGACCAAAATATGAGTTAACTAAAGAAGTAAAATAAAAAAAAAACATTTTCCAAATTTTTAATAAACGGATAAAGAAAGAAGAATAAAAAAAATTATACTTCAGTTCTTGTGCTTTTGCTTTTCTTTCTTCAGGTGTAAGAGAAGGCTTGGAAGGTTCTGATTTACTCTTCGCAGACACCTTAGCAAAGAGTAACATAAAACTTAGTAAAAAAGTAAGCTTGATAAATTATTTTCCCATTTGATACTATAAAGGCAAAAGAATTTTAAACAGATACATGTTAAATATTAATAAAGAGATTTCTTGGAATAAGCAATGTTAAGTGAGTATGAGAGAAAGAGAGTAAGAGTACCAAAGGCATTTGATCTATGTCTGCATCTTCTTCATGTTCAACAATCCAATTTGCACCAGTCTGGCTCTTTCATCTTCTAAATCAGAAGCTGCAATCCATTCAATGGAGGGTTTCAACGAACATGCAATGCATGCATGGAGAAGGGCCTGCACTTGATTTCAAGTTCAAGTTCAAGTTCAAGTTTAGTAAAACTAAAACAAACATACTGTAATGTTATTGCAAAACTATAACTCTAACTGTACCTTAACAACAGACAAATAAGAGTCTGTTAGGCCAACATATTTCCCAACCATTGCAATCTTCACCTGCAGTTGCACACCAACACGAAAAGGGACAGGGTATTAAGTAACTGAAATGCAGTAGTAAGTAGTAAAGGAGGAAAATGATACTAACAGAATTGGTGAGGTTGTCAAAAAGTTTCTGCCCTGTTAGTCCACTCTTGTAAATTTGGAGGTCTTGCTACACTTAAGCAGAGAGAGAGAGAGAGAGAGAGAGAGAGAGAAAATATTATCACATTCCTTCTACACATACTACTGACAATAAATATGTGCTCACCGCAGTAGTGCTAGCTGTTTCAGGATTGCCTCATGAGCATTTTGGTTCTGGGAAAATTTAGAGATGATGAGAAATATATCTATCTCAATTATCTAAGGAATACAAACATCCACGCACCCGAAGTAAAAGAGGAACATGACAAATGTTTGGAACATCATGTATATTAAGAATGTTGGCAGCCTGTTTGTTGACAAAATCAATCAATCAATCAGAAATGAACAACACAAAGCCAAGGACAGCCTATTAACCAGAAACTTACAGGTACATGACAAAATTGTGAGAGTTTCTGCTTTGTGTTTTCCAACAATGGCTGCAAGGTAAACCAATACTTTGATTGCTTAAGTCTTAACTCTTAACCACAACACACCCATTCATAAATCATACCTGAGCTGAACGGCATGCTAAAAAGTGAGGGGTCAGGCCTAAAGCTCGCAGTTCCCGGACACTGTGATGTGTAGGCTTAGTTTTCTGAAGAAAAAAAAAACAATCGGAGTGATTCAGTAGATAATTTAGAAAAAGAAAAATGTATTTCTCCAAAAATAGAATAAACTGTTTGTTAAATGTTAGTCAAAAAAATTCCAGAAAATAATTTAGAAAAAGAAAGAGCACATGGATTCAGTAGAAGCTCCAGAGACGAATTTCACCAGCTTCTTCATCGGAGGGATCAAACGAAGACTCGTTGTTCATCACATCATTTTACCTTGGTGAATCAAAGACGTTGCACCATGGTGCAACCATCGACATCAAGGTGCCATCAAGTGGATCGTTTTCAAAAGACAATCTCTGGCTTTTCTCATTAGATGAAGTTATTGATTGAGATGGTGAAACCGGTGATAATGGTGATGAATAAGATGGAGATGGTGGTGGAGATGGAGATGGACCGGTACTGGTGGCAGACGCCGCTAGATTTGCAGTTGGGCCCTTAACGCATAAAAGGGCTGCATCATAGGCTCTTGCTGCTGCTTCAGGAGTTGAGTAAGATCCTAACCATATTCTTGATTTCTGATTTGGTGCTCTTATCTCAGAAACCCATGAACCCCAACTCCTCATTCGCACTCCTTTGTATCTCCCTCTGGTAATCAATAGTGATGGTGACAGTAGAGAAGTAACATAAACCGACTCTTAATAGCTAGAAGAGTTAGGGCTTTTTCTTGTTTATGGTGTGCGATGTCTGGTGGCGATGGAGGGGACACTCTAGGGTTAGGGCTTGCAGTTAGGGTGGCGATAGCGACGACTATAGGAGGGTGGTGGTAATGGAAGCCTATCAGAGATTGAAGAAAGTGAGGAGGTAGACGGAATAGATTTGGAAGAAGCTTTTGGAAGAAACGATGGCTGATAGTGTCTAGAGGATATTAGGCTTTTCCACGAGAAGCTTTGACCGTACGTTACAATGATACGTGCGTGTATACATATACATTGTAAGCTTAATAGATTGTACATGGTGTTATAAAATGTATACCTCTTATTCAAGATGTGGGCAATATGTTTAATAATATAGTTAAGATAAGATAGCTAGGATTTCAACGACACTCGGACAAATAACCGGATACTCTAAGTCCACAACCAAACAAGGAACAGGAAATAAAGCGGGCTATCGGTCCTAAATCCTTCAAACCCTACTTATATAACTATATCTATATAGACATGAATCTAACCAGAATATAAGTCTAAAAGACTTTGATAAACGTTTTAGTAAATTAAAAGAGATTTGAAAACAAGATTTGAAAACCTTTAGCTGGATAAAACAGTTTAACATGCAAAAATCTATTTGATTGACAATTATTAATCACATGCGATTGATATAATAACTTAATAGTTCAACTTGTATTCCCCCCATTAAAAGCATTTAAAATCATTTCAAAGGTTGATTAAGGGGGTATGAACTCACCTGAAGTGAGTAATTCGAAAGAAATATTGATATAGGATCGTCGGGTGCCGAATGAAGTCGTGAGCACAAACAGATCCTAGTTTAACATGTAATAACACATATATGAATACACTTAGGGTATATAACCACTAATAGATACATGAACACACCTTAGGGACATGGAAACACTTAGAATTAAGTGTTACAACACCTATGGAAGTCCCTAAATGAGTGTAGGACCTTAGACTTGAGTGTAAGGCCACCAAACTCAACTTTTATGCGTGTGCGGCCAGGTGTACGGCCAGGGTGTGCGGCCAGGCCTGTGTGCGGTCGTACATGGGAGTGTGCGGCCGTACAGAGTGTGTGTGCGGCCGTACACAGGGATGTGCGGTCGTACACTCTTCATTCATGCCCAAAATGTCGATTTTTAGGTGTTTCAAGGCCAATATCAAGTCCAATTAGCAGATAGGGGGTCAAACTTTCACTTTGGAGAGTTTTTGAGGTGTGTACGACCACCTTATGAAGGTATGCGGTCGTACACCTTCAAGTGATGAAGAACACGAAGAACATGAAGAGTTTAAGGCTTAGATTAAGGTGTCTTACCAGTATAACAAGCTGAGTGATGGAGTACTTCACGTTTTTGAGGCCCTTAGAGTGTTCTTGGATGAAGTTTCTAGAGAGAGAAAGTAGTGTGCAGCCAAAAGGGGAAAAGAGTGAATGAAGGGGTCTCCTCCAATATATAGGGTTGGGTGTGCGGCTGGGAGGGTATACGGCTGGCTGTGTGCGGCTGGCCGAGTGTGCGGCCGCACACACCATGCTGGGTGTGTTTGGCCCGATTTATTGATGCTACACACATTCTAACCCTTTCTAAGACTCATATCTAGGTTGTACTAAGCCTAGAACACTCATATAGACCCACAACTTCATTACAAAATCGCAAAACGAGGCTAACTTTGATAAAAATGAAGGATGTACAAGTTAGAAATTTCGGGTTGTCACATTTGGTCACAAAAGGGTGGGTTTGTTTGCAAAAGTCAAATAATGAAAATAACAATCAACTTTGAAAAATGCAGAAAATGAAATAAATTTGTAAACAAGTTGTAAAAGTGCTTCCAGTTCTAGTTCTCAATGTTGCCATCTAACCTGATTATGACTTGATGTAATTTGTGATAGCTATTCTAAGCTGGTACTGAAAGATATTAACACGCTCTAATACCTCTCGCTTGCCAAATAATCTAACCAAAACACGCTCTTTGACTAGACCTAGCTTACTAATTCAACCTAAACACGCTCTTAGATTTTTCATTGAAAAACTGCATTAAGTTTTGTACAAGCTTCCCAACAATGTTCATTTCTTCTCATACGCTCGAAAGTGTGAAAACATGTGATATATGTTTTACAATAAGAAAACTTATTGCTTGTTACAAATTATTAACTCAATAGAACGATTAGGTGCCCTAAAAGTTAATTAACTGCACAAAAATTCAATTCATGAAAGTGGCCAATCCAACACAAATCAAATTCAAGGATTCTAGTTTAAACAAAAACATAATCACTAGAATAGAATCACAAATCAAACATCAAATCATATGCTTCAAGTCAAGCAATCAACATGTTTTGAACAAGAACTAGAAACTAGGGTTTCTTAGCCACACATGGCTATGAACAAATCAAACAAGTATAAAGATGGAATTGGAATGTTTAATTCTTACTAAAATGAAATCAAAAGTGTTTGCAATGATTAGGTCTTGTCAAAAGCTCCAAGAATTCTCCGAAAATCACCCAAGGTCGCCAAAAACTGCTCCAAAAACCGTCTGCCACTTCAAATGACGTTCTTCTGCTTTTAATTAAAGTTCACGTGCTTTCCATAAGACCATGCGTTTTTAGCATGGTCATGCCTTTTGCCCATGTGTTTTTGGCATGGCCATTTGTCTTGACCATGTGTTTTTGGCATGGCCCATGTTTTTTGCTAAAAATCAAATAAGTCTTCAGTGTTGGCTCCATCTTCAATCTAGCTTCACCACGAGTCATGTTGCTTAAATATGAGATGATAAAGGACAAACACGACCCGCGTCAGTGTGACAAGAACCACATTTCAAACGTAGTCCTTTGCTATGATGACAATGCAATAATGACTCGGGTTATGTCTTCACATTTTCTGCCATGGAATGACCGATTCATCTTCTCTTCATGCTCCAAAGCTCCAAGTTCCATCCTCCATGCTCCATGCATCTAAGCTCCAAGTATCCATGCTCCATAATGCCTTCAAAATAAATCAAAAATGGTGAAGTACCAGACATTCTTGACGAAATATGCAATTGCCCAAATAATCAACTAAATGCAAGAATTATGAAGTAGAATGCTATAAAAGGACGGAAATAAACATGCAAAATAGGTGTATAAAATGCACCTATCAAACCTCTCCAAGCTTATACCTTTCTTGTCCTCAAGAAAGAACACAATTAAGAATCACCCTAGAGAAGACGATAGGCGACTGAAAAGAAACTAAGATGAAGAGAATGAAAGAAAAACTAATGAAAATAACATATGTACAATAATTTTTTTTGGTTTTTGTATTTTTTTTTTCAAATATTAATGCAATAAACGAAACAAAACGAACAGATTCAATCTAATTAACCTCATTGTGTCATACAGTCGAAAGTGTACCTGTCGTGCCTTGAGATAACTTGACATTAACCCCACAAAGATATATAGCATTTAAAACAAGATTTTTAGTTACTCCCTAACACAACTCAAAAAAATCAAAATTTCAACACTTGTTCACGTTTACTGGTATTGGGTTAGCACATGGAACAAATTATGGTCTTACTCTCGTGAAAACATGTTATGACAAAAATGCTCAATCATTTTCATTTTACAAAGCATGACAGTGATCGACTCCAGCTATACGTTGACTGACAACAATCTTTTTCTAAAAAGTATTTTCTAAAAATTCCCTAATACTTACCCAGATTGGTTACATGTTTCAAACCACATACACCAGTCAAAGTAGTTTACAGTCAGTCCCAATGTCATAAGTTCAAGTCCAAGTCCAAAGGAATCTTTTGGCAGCCAAACATTTTTCCTAAACATATTATTCGATTGAACTATAAACATAAACATATACAAACTATCTAGTTATATTTTCCTACAAATAAAACTTATGGCTTTCTTTGAAATCCACGTAGCGGGCTTCCAACCAACACATCCAGGCCAGATGACCTTGGTGTGCTAGATTTAAAGAGATCCCTCGGGTTTACTTGTCCGAACCTCAAAGGTCACAGATTAGCTTTATTTGACTGTCTAAACATGTCTATATATATATATATATATATATATATATATATATATATATGTTATTATTAAGTTCATGACTTTCTATGGAACCCGTGTAGCGAACTTTCAACCCAATCAGTCCCAAACAATTCAGGTTTAGGCAATTAGGTGTAGAACACCCCTCGGGGTTTACTGATTCGAGTCCCAAGGGTCACAGATTAACTTAATAATATTTTTATTTTTTTTATTTTTTATTTTTTTTAATTTTTAATTTTTAATTTTTTATTATTATTATTTTTTAATTTGTTTGCTAGGCTTATTTCCTTATATTTTCGTCCTTGACTCTTTCTATCGTTGGGACATCTCACAGTCTATTACCGTGAGAGACTTCTAAGACGTTTTTCGTGGGACTGATGTAACGCGCAAAGACCCGTAAGTATAGTTGGAAACAATGTCCCCAAGCAGGGTATTTAGAAGGGAATAGGTAGAAAAGACTTTTTTGAGCGCTGGAGA